GTGTTACCACCAATGGGGACACGACCACAATAATTCGTCTTGACAAAAGCTGAACTTAATGTTTTGTGCTATGCTATGAGGGTCACAGTCTCTGGTACATAACAATTGTCTATTCCCCAGCAACTAAAGTCTCGGCAATCACATACGGTGCCTGTGTTCTGCCTCCGCCTTCATCTCTGTCCATAGCTAGTGATGCGAACCCGCTTAGCTCGTTGGCTAGAGAACCAACGAATAATAAGAAAGAAATCTTGAAAAGCCAAATCAGATTTGAAAATAGAGGATATTAGATGCCACACTCCAAAAAGGTACAAGGAGAGCGATAATCTATGTGAACGCCGTAAGAGCAATTAGTCCTCAATATAAGTTTGAAATGTTTTTGAAAAACTAAGGAAAATAGATCTCACAATAATAGTTTGATTGATAAAAAAATTTTATTGAAAATTATAACTTATTTAGTTAAATAAGTGGTTGGAATACGGAAAGATAATATAATTAAAGTTACATAGGATCTATAATTAGAATATTAGATCACTACAAAGTTTTAAATAAGTCCTTTTGAAATTGATAAAAACTCGAATTTGGCCGCCATTAGTGTGGATCGAACCTTGATGAATGCTGATTTGAAAAACGGATGTAAAATGTTGATTTTGGAAAGGCTTGGAAATTAGGTGAATCAATAGCTTTAGCTTGGTTAATATTGGCCCAAAACATCAACACAAGATGGTTCTGCCAAATTGAACTTTTAAGTTTAAAAGTTTCGATCCAAAAAGCTTGAATTAGATTCACAAGGCCCATTCAAAGTTCTTCAAACCTAATGATGGAGAAATCAACCCATTGAAGTTGAATAAGCCTATTTGAGGACTCGTGGATCTTCTTGGCCCTAGCCCATGTGATTGGGCCTATTGGAATGGCTAATGGATTAGCCTCCTCAAGCTCAAGCCCATGACCAAATTGTGAATCATTTAGAAGCCCATGGTATACCTTTTGATTAGCCTTTGGAAGCCCACGCCCGGAAGGTTGTTTAGCCTTTAAAAACACACAATCAGTCTTTTTGGCACTTGGATCATTCAGCCCAAAACTCATCAACTTCAATTTTGGTTGTGGATGAAGCATTTTCAGCCCAAATGCTTGCTTTGACTCCTCTCCAAGCCTATATCCTTGTTGGTCGACCCATTGAACATTGTGTAGTCCATATTATTCGAGCTTCCATGTTCTCATCATACCCCACTCTTTAAAAAGATTCGTCCTCGAATCTTCACTTTTATGCCAAATTCAAACTCCTGCCATAAAGACACAACAATACTAGGTAAAGCAGAATCAAGCTCATTAGGATTAAAATAAGTCTCCTTATACAAATGTACAATCATTAGCTTTTGTGAAAAATAAGCTCTTTTAATGTCATTCTCTTTTGCAAAGAAACTCTTTTTTTTTCTTCTTTTTCTTTCAAAATTTTCTTTTCTTTTTCATTATCTTTTTCTTTTCTCTTCTCATTTTGCTCTCGGTCTTACCATTTTTCTCTCAATTTTTTTTCGGACTCATTTGATCCTTAAATAATTGTTTAGGTGACAATGGAACAAGTGTTACTTTTTCATCCCTCTATTTCAAATGAATATTTATTTTTAAACTTATCATATGTCACTTTTCTAACAACTTGCCAAGGTTTTCCTAACAAAATATAACCCGTACTTATCAATACAACATCACACAAAACCTCATCCTTATATCTCCTTATATCTTTCAATAGAAAAAGACAACTATCATTTATTTATTTACCTCGACTTCTCCACACTCATTTACCTATTGTAATGCATATGGCCTAGGATGTTCAACAACCGGCAAACTCAACTTTTTCATTAACTCGGGACTAACAACATTGACACAATCACCCTCATCTATTATCAAACAATAGACTTTATTATTGACATGACAATAGGTATGAAAAATATTATCTCTCCGCACCTTCTCTTCATTTTTCATTTACATGCTCAAAGCATGCAAAATTACTAATGACTCACCATAAACATCATCATCGACGAGTCACTTTACCTTCCCCTCTAGGATTTTTATCTTTTGACATGTTTAAAACTTGCACAAAATTTATTAGTAATAAAAATTCTTCACAAACACTCCCTCACGTGTTTCACTCAAATTGATAACACCCAATGCTCGTGTTTGCTCTCTTGTAAGCTTTTTCTTTAATACTCTCATAAAATCTAGCCTTCTACCACTCTAACTCACTCCTTTGATTCTTTCACATACTAATTCAAACCATACAAGAACTAACTAATTGCAAGTGACAAACCAAGTGCTTGACAACTTCACTTTCCAAGGATCGGATTTTGGATATATTTGGAATAAGGAATCAATAAACCAATTCAAACAAGAATTTTAAGTTTTTGGATAATAAGAATGACATTAAAATTGACTTCAATTGAATTTAACAAAGAAGATACAAGTAGATTGTTTTGGAGAGAAATTAATCACAATCATTCAACACATAATTTAACGTTTATCTACCGACTTGAAACATAAGATAGACTTTTAAAGCTACCGATTTGAAACAAATCGATAATGATAACAAGCAGAATACAAACAATTTAACACATAAAATTGACGTTTTTTAGCTACTCGTTGGAATAAAAGAAACAAACCGATTCCAAATGACACTAAGATTAACTTTTTTTGGACTAAATAATCATAAGTATTTGGAAAGTAGACACAACTAAATTTGAACATAAATACCGACTTATAGCTACCGATTTGAACACATTTGACAATGAAAACAAGTCGAACACAAACAATTTAGCACACACAACCGATGATTTTTTTTAGCTACTTGGATTAGGCAACAAAAATTATTCTTTCTTTCTTTTTTTTAACTACTCGGTTTAAGGTCAAATATTACGGATACGCTAATGCTTACTTTTTTTAATTTCATTTTTTTAACAGTAGAATATCTCAATAACTCTTTTTTGGTAACCTTAGGACATTTTCAATGTAGTGCTATGGTTTTCATTAGATTTGAAATAAGAAGAAAATTTTAGAAATTGAGAAGAAGATGATAGACACGATTTAGACTAACTAGATAAAAACGAAACAAAATCGGACTTCCTTTTCTTTTTTCTTTTTTGAATTGGATCGACTCAATTTGGACTAAAACGAAACTACAAAGATATAAAATAGAACAAAAGATAATGAAAAAAAGAACTCGATTTAGAGCCAAGATCTAATACTAACCGATGCGAACCCGCCTAGCTCGATGGCTAGAGAACTTACGAACAAGAAGAAAGAAGTCCTAGAAAGCCAAATCGGATTAAAAAATGAAGGATATTATATGCCACACTCTAGAAAGGCGGAAGGAGAGCGATAAGTCTATGTGAACGCCACAAGAATGGAAAATTCTTGATAAGTTCGAAGGATGAACGACATAAGAACGATTAGTCCTTGATAAGTTCGAAATGTTCTTAAAGAACTAAGGAGAATAAATCTCACAATAATAGTTTGATTGATAAAAAGATTGATTGAAAATTATAACTTGTTTAGCTAAATAAGCTGCTTGGAATTCGGAAAGACGAGTAGAATTAAGTTACATGGATCTATAACTAGAATATTGGATTGCTATAAAGACCTTGAATAAGTCTCCTTGAATTTTGTAGAAAACTTCTTGAATTTGGCAACCATTAGTGTGGATCGAATCTTGATGAATGCTAACTTGAAAAATAGGTGTAAAATGTTAATTTTGGAAATGCTTGGAAATGGGCTAAATCGGTAGCTTTAGCTTTGTTAATATTGATCTACAACACCAACATAAGATGGTTCGACCAAATTGGACTTCTAAGTCCGAAATTTTCAGTCCAAAAAGCTTGAATCGGATTCGAAGGCATGTTTGAAGTTCTTTAAGCCCAATGATGGAGAAATCAACCCCAATGAAGTTGAATAAGCCCATTTAAACATAGATCTTCTTGGCCCTAGCCCATGTGGTTGGGCCTACTCGGAATGGCTAATAGATCGGTCTTCTCAAGCTCGAAGCCCAGCCTGACCAGATTGTGAATTATTTAGAAGCCAATGGTCGGCCTCTTGATTAGCCTTTGGAAACCCACGGCCGGAAGGTTGTTTAGCCTTTGAAAACACACAGCCAATCTCTTTGACACTTGGATCATTCAACCCAAAACTCATCAATTTCAATTTTGATTGTGGATGAAGCATTTTCAGCCCAAATGCTTGCTTTGACTCCTCTCTAAGCCTATATACTTATTGGCCAACTTATTAAGTAGTCCACGTACCAATCAATCCATTAGATATTGAATAATCCATATTATGCAACCTCCATGTTTTCATCGGCTAGCAAAGATCCTCAATAATCACGATGGTCTAGATGTTGTTTTGGTATCTATGTTGTGCTTTGATTTGTTAGAAAAAGTAGAAGAAGAAGAAAAAGAGGTTATTTATGTATTCTTATGAGTCGGTTTGCAATTAAAAAAATCATTTAGTCTTGGTCAAGCTTTGATTTTGGCCTCAACCTTAGTTAAGAAATGAAATTTGATATACACATTGGCCAAGCAAGCTTAAGGAAGAGAGAGGAAGAAGCAAAGAAAGCCAAAAAGAAATAAAAAGAGAGAAAAAGAAGAAGCATCAACCAAGAAAAGAGGAGGAGAGGGAAAGAAATTAGTGTCAGGTGTCATTTTTTACGTTGCACGTAATTCGAAAATATTTATATTATTTATCAAAAAAGTACATGGTGATCTAATTAAATTTTTTGAGGTTATAGATATATTTCAGTTCATAGTTGAGGATGTTCTCATGTAATTTAATTATTTTTTTATATTAAAATTTTAAAATATGATTAAAAAAAATTAAGAACTGTGTCAAGTAAAGGACCGAAAAAGCAAATAAAAGGGAAAAAATAAAATGAAGTCCAAGCGATGCTGCATTTGCCTGTGGCAGTAGGCACCTTCTCCTTCTTGCGCAAAATCCATCCTTCCTCGCACTCTTCGTCTCCCATGAAAGAAAGCCATGGCCACGAGCAACCAAAAACCCACACAAAGATCCTCCTCGCCTCACTCTCAGCCATGGTGGCCGAGACAGCCACTTTCCCAATAGACTTGACAAAGACCCGGCTCCAGCTCCATTCCTCCACTACTAAACCTATCAACGCCTTCATGGTGGCCGTTGAGATCTTTCGCCAGCAGGGTCCTCTCGGGCTCTACCAGGGCCTTTCTCCTGCCATTTTAAGACACCTATTCTACACTCCTATACGAATTGTGGGCTATGAGAATTTGAGATATCTTGTGGTGGTCAACGATGAAGTTGCTGCTGGTGGTGGTCGTTTTGTTTCTCTGTCCAATAAAGCTCTCCTTGGTGGAATTTCTGGTGTTATTGCCCAGGTAAAGATAAAAATTCACTGCTCTATCAAGTTTCCTTTCTTTTTGGTTTTTAAAGAAGTTCTCTGGAAAGTTTAGATTTTTCAGTAATTGAGATATAAATGTGATTGTAGTAATTCATAAAGAAGAAGAATTCAAAGATGGGGTGTGCTTGAACATGAGAGGGTATATAATCATTGTTGCCCTTAGTGATTTCTATCAGACCATTAAAGAAAGTGATCAAGATCAAAAGCTACAATTTTCAATAAGTTTTTAGTATTAGAACTTTGCTATTGATAAGTGGATCAAACCAAAATTGAGAGCCTTTGTATATTCGTAAGAATTGGATATTTATTTATTATCCCTACTCATATTGATAGGTTTGATTTTTTACTTTTCTTTGGTATTTCACAATGATTCTTGTGCTGCTTCAATGATTTCTGGCATTACAATGAATCCAGAAGAATTTCCATCCTGACTGTCCAGATTGGGAGAATCCATTCTTCTCTTTCTTAGGTTTGGAAATTTTGGTTCTGCTGTTACATAGGTTCCTCGGATGGTTATAAGTTAACAAAATTTGTTGAGGCAACCATGTTACCTTTCAGTTTGTCTCTATGTAGAAATGTAATTGTTTGTGTGCACTTTAGCCCTCCTCAAAGATTAAACATTTCCAAGCATTGGCATTGTGAAAAGATGCATTTAGACCCGGATCATCTCAATTAATCTAGCATCCAGCTGTTTAATTCTTTAAATTATACTAACTTAATGTGTAAACTTCTGCATACGAGTCTACAATTTTCATGAGTTTTTTGTTTTACCATTAGTTTTGCAGGTGGTGGCTAGCCCTGCTGATCTTGTTAAGGTGCGGATGCAAGCACATGGTCGTACCATAAACCAAGGTCTCCACCCTAGGTACTCGGGGCCTTTTGATGCTTTCAGCAAGATTATAGGGGCAGAAGGCTTTGGTGGTCTGTGGAAAGGAGTTCTCCCCAACATCCAAAGAGCATTTTTGGTGAACATGGGAGAGTTAGCCTGTTATGATCATGCAAAGGGATTTATCATCCAGAACCAGATATCTGCTGATAATATCTATGCCCATACCTTAGCATCTATCATGTCAGGACTTTCTGCAACTGCTTTGAGTTGCCCAGCTGATGTTGTGAAGACAAGAATGATGAATCAGGAAGCAAGCAGGGATGGCAAGGTTATGTATCGGAGCTCTTATGAATGTCTTGTGAAGACAGTTAGAATGGAGGGATTGAAAGCACTATGGAAGGGATTCTTTCCTACGTGGGCTAGACTTGGTCCATGGCAATTTGTTTTCTGGGTCACTTACGAGAAATTTCGACAAGCTGTAGGGCTGTCTTCCTTCTGATAATGGATCTCATGAGGAGGACTCTCCAAACCCATTTGGCCAACACTGGCGAGAAATTTCGACAAGCTCCAGGGCTTTCTTCCTTCCTATAATTGATCTCTTAGCTTTTACTCTGCAAGCCCATCGGCAGAGTATACTTATTTAGTCCTTTTTCCTATGTTTTCTTGGATTTCTCAAAAAATTAATTTGAGACTTTAAATAAATAAAAAATACATCATATGATTGTTTGAAAGAATAGTTGTCGACATAGAGAATAAATAGAATAAAAGTACAAACAGTTATTTAGTATTTAAAATAAATAAATTTAAAATCTAAATCTAAAACTATTTATTAAAAATAATATTAATATTATTCGGACTGAATAGAAGGCGGATAACAATTCTTCGGATTAGGTTCCGACCTAAACCAGACCCTTAAGGCTCTTGTCCAAGCCTGTTTTGAAATTAGAATTGGGCCTTGATAATTATAAACTCCTTATAAGTGAAGAAAACCAAGACTTCCAGGATACAAGTGTCTTTCCCACAGAATAATAACTCGTTCGAAATTTTGAATCAAAATCTTGATTTTTTTTGTTTTAAAAAAACATCAAGGAATTGAAATTGCTATTAAATTAGGTCTAGTACTTGGCCCATATATTTCATGTAAACAAACTTTTCTCATTAAAACCTCTATACGATAAACCAAAAATCACATTGAAAGTTATTTAGTTCAAAAAGTTCTTTTATCAAAATATAAATTACAGATAATAACATATATAGATCATTTTATATTGAAACAAATTACTGTAAAATTTTCTTAAGAAATAGTATTACTCTCCATGAGCTGATGAGATGGTCACATGGCAATTACCTATTGGTGTTTTTTAATTTAATTGAGGATAATATAAAACTTTTTTATTTGTCTTTTTTATCATTAGAGAAAAAAACTTTTATATATTTTTTCTCTCTATAGAGTTTTGAGAGTCTCTTAAGTTTTTTATATTTATATATAGTTGCTGCCACTGGTGCTAGTATTTTTTTTGGTTTTTTTTTTCTAATAGATCTAATGTTTTTTTTTTCATATTTATTCTATTTATTTGGTATTTGTTTATTGTTTCTGGTATTTTTTTTTTTAAATTAAGGTTGTTTTTTTTTATGTCTTCTACCCTTTCATAGTTCTTTAACGGCAATGTAAGTTTTATATAAAATGTGAATAATACAGTATTCATATATTTTCTGTATATAAAAAAAGGTATCAAGTGGAAGATTAAAATAGCAGAATTATCGATAGATTATCAGTCAAAAAAACATGACAGTTGTTCATTCACTTATTGAATAGTTTTAAATTTTTAGATTTAAATTATAAATCTTTAGTTTCTACGTAAGATTTTTATTATTTATTTTTGGACATCTTTACAGGAATACGTAAAATTCGTTTCGTTTTTTATATGGAGCTGACTTCTGATATATAGATAGAAGACTTTTTCCATTTCAATTTAATGAAATTTCTATGACCAAAAAAAAAAAAAAAAAAGAATTGATACAATTCACACACTTGATATGCGTGTATATATATATTTTTTCTTGATAGTATTAAATTAATTAGAAGATGGCTTTGGGAAGGGATGAAGCTTTGGTTTAAAACAAAGGTATCACAATTACAGGGACCTGGAATGCTTATTAGGGTAGCCATTAGGTTCCATTATCTGCGTGAAGCAATAAAACCGGCTCGAAGAATCATGGACAACAATGTATACACGTTATAACAAAGCCTGAGATTCGTAAAGATTTAAAAAAAAAAAAGAAGATTTGAGATTCATTGATTTTCTCTCCCCTTGGTCATGAGATTCTCCATTTGCTTCAATGTACAACTTGCTTATTCCAACTAAACTTTGCTGCTGTACTGTCTGTGGGCTTACTGGTGCTCTTACTGCATCGCTGCGCCCATTTATGAATATGTGGTGCTTTAATTTACAATCAGACAATTGGTTTGGTTTTACTTGGTAGCTTTATTGGTTGGCTAAGCTCCCAGTTTTTTTGTATTATGCTTTTCACTGACAGGCCTTAAATATGTACTCTCCTATCTTGTTGCCTGTTTCGCCAGGGTCTCCTTTTGGTGCCCTCGGTGCTTTGTAATCCATCTGACTAATGAAAAAGAGAGAAGAGTTTTTCTTCCACTTTTTTAAAACGATACAGTTTTGGAGTACATGCATATGTTTCGTAATGATGAATTAGTAGGAGAAAAAAAAAGAAGATAATTTTTACTTCAGATTTGCCAGATAATGATTATCCCTTCCACTTCCTCTGCGTGCCGACAAAGGGAGGCGACCAGAACTATAAAAAACTGTTTTCACTTTCTAATACCGTGTGCATTTGAATTTTGAACTCGAATCAGTGCCAAATGATTGCTTCAAGACCTGAAAAAAAAAAAAAAAAAAAAAAAAAAACCTAATTGAGTGCAAAAAACTGGAAGAGAGAAATGAAGATCTAATACCGACCTATTCCAGTGGTGGACAACCATGCGCGTGATCATTACTCATTAACTATACACAATTACTCCACCGGCTTCACCAGTAAGTATAATATTGGACCATTTCCTCACCGGTTTACGAGGCACGCATTAATTCTTTTCTTGAATGGGTACTGACTTCACTAAAACAATTTCCTCTAATCATTTCCTGAAAATTTATACCATTAAATCTAATAAATTTACTCATAAAATCCACAATAATCAGTGGCATTTTTTAGCATTAACCAGTGGTATGCATTACATTGCGAATAGTACAAAATAATTAAAATTATTTAAAAAATCAGTATTATTTAATTATTCTCGTCAAGCTATAGGTCCATTTAAATATATTAAAATTAAAGGAAAAAAAATCATTTAACTTTATGATTTTTAATCAAAATTTTGTAATCAATTAATTCTTTCTTATGTTTTCTTAATAGATTTCCTTCTTATTTGTTTTTTTATGCAGGGATTTTAAGTAAAAATTTATAATAATTTAAAACACAAGTTTCAATTAATTAAAAATCTTAAAAAAAACATGTGTAATTTAATTATTTATTTCATAAGATTACATTGAAAAAATAAAATAATAATTAAATTTAAAAACTGCATAAAAATTTGAAAATTTTAAATAAAATTTTATAATATTGATGAGAAGATTAATTCTTGAAGGTATGTATATTGGGTTATATATAAATACTATTAACAAAAAAAAAAATCTATTTGGAAAGTATGATATCATCGTTTATTTTTTAAAACATAATTTTAATTATTTTATTTGAGGATAATTGATTTCAAAATATCCATTAAAAAATGTTATATGGATTTTTTTCCTTCTTAATAAATATTTTTGTTTCCTAGTTACTCAAGCTTAGTCACCATGCATAATCTTCACATGTATAATAATTTTTTTTCACCTCTTACTTTTAATTATAACTAAAAAAAAAAAATCTTACTCAAAAATTCAAATAAAAAAAAATTTAAATGAATATTTTGAGAGTATCGATCTTCTTTCTTTAATCATTTCATGGATTGAAACCATAATAAACAAACTTTTCTCACCTAGATGAACAAATCAAAACGAAAATCGTCTATCATAATGACAAGAATGGGCTTCGTCATCGTCTTCTCTCTTTGTTTTTCTAAGCACTAGGGAATCAAAGTGCGATATAAATAAAGTGAAAACCGATGCAAAATTTTGTTAAAAAATCAAAAATAAAAAATAAAAAATCAAAGTGAACCTTGTTAAAAATTTTATATAAATGCTGAAAATCACAAAAATATCATCATAATATATATTAAAAAATTAGTAAAATTACAACAATACCAAGTAGATAGTGCACGTGAAAAGATTACAACAATGCAACATTAATAGCTAATATGAGTGTAAGTGAATCGTGACTTAAATAATAAAATTTCCATATCTTTTAAGTTTTCTTGTTAATTCTAAGAAAATATATTTGATAAAATGATTAATGCTTTCTATACTAATTAATGATGGTGGTAATACTTAAGGAGTAATCGGTATATATATACAATAGTTAGTCCATGAGTCTACTTTTGAGGAAAGAGATAGATACATTAAAAAAAAAAAAAAACCACTTCTCGACTCATCAAAATAATAAGAAGATGTTCATGTTGGTTCAAATTTCTTTCTTTTTTTAATTTTATCTCTCCTATTTCTCTTTTCTTTTTATATCTATCTCTCTTTATGAAATAACTAAAACTATTTACTCTTTTAGTATTATAAAATTTCTATGTAAATGCGGTGTTCTTGTAGTTGTGTTTTTATAATTGATTTATTTTATGTTCATGATTATTGTGTGTGTTTAACTTGATTATGTCTCACGAAATCTAATTTGCATGGAGTGAGATTAAATTTCTAACAATAATATTAGAGCATAGTTGGAATATTTGTGTAAATAAGATGGAAAAAATAATTTGGAAGCTATGATCAAGCCGATGACTTCGAATTATTCGATTTGCGAAGGATGAATGATTTACTTTATTACCATAATTTTTTTATCCGATTGAATAAGGTAAAACTAAACCATTTGCCAAGATTGATGATGTTTAGAAAAAAAAAAAAAAAGAGTATAAAAACAAAATTATTGAAGCTATTAGACAGTGGGTGGACGATAGTGTTGAATAAGGTAAAACTAAACCATTTGCCAAGATTGATGATGTTTAGAAAAAAAAAAAAAAGAGTATAAAAACAAAACTATTGAAGCTATTAGACGAGTGGGTGGACGATAGTGTTTATTTTACAACGTATCCAAAAAGACGAATGTCTAAGAACTATAGAAAAAAATTAGAGAGTATACATGAAAGTAAGACTACATGTAATAATTTTTTTTTATTAAAAAAAATTCTGAATTTGAAATAAAAAGATGAAAAATTTGTTGCTTGAACACTTGAGTGACTTTTAGAATTTGATTAATCAATTGATAATTATGATGAGTTATAAACATTATTGTTACTAGGAACTTTGCCATACATCTTAAAGACTTTAG